TGTATCGTAAGAGGCAATTTCAAAAAAAATGTACAGCATTCGATAGATGGCGGTATAATCATTCCGTAAACGACAGACTTAAAAAAAACTCCACCGGTGACATGGCATAAAGGAAAAACTGCGGTCATCATTCGGTCGGACAAGCATAACGAACAAAGCAAATCTTCCTAAAAACGGGGGAGTCCAGATGTGAACTTTTACGAGCTGACAATGAAGAAGAGTAATTTGGTAAATCCATAAGCAGGAATAACACTTAACTCTCAATTCTTATATGTATACGTTTGATACATGTCTTTTTACGCGTTCTCTAACACTAAGTGGTAAAATTAAACACCTCGCCGAGCAATTCTCGTAATTGCTACATTGAGTTCACACATGCTCAAGCTTCATTAAACCATTTGTGAAGTCATTAGTTACGGTTGTGCCCCAGCGCTCTATGCTGCAGTGCTTTAATACAAAGTACATTCTGTAGAATGAATGAAACTCGTCCTTAAAGCCACCGTGAAAAGTTCGAGGCAATTAGCTGTTGCTGACTTGTTTCTAAGTCGTTTAACTGATAATTTTCCTTTTTTTTAATTATTCTTTAGTTTTATTTTTTATTAGCTTTCTCTTTTTGGAGAACTTGTATTGGCTTAAAATTCATAAATTTAAAACTATCGACCTCCGGTCTGAGCAAGGATGATGTGGCGGCGCTATCGTCGCGCCGCAAGCGAAACACACCGAAGCCTAAATCACGCTATAAAATTCTAAATCATAAACAGTATATATATAACATCTCCGAACTATTATATGGAGCGTTAGCCGCTCCCCAGGCAGAACACCTTGCCCGGCGGGAGGTTTCCCCTTTTTCTACCACGGCCACACCTGTATTATGCAAAGAAATAAGAGATTTGATTTGAAAATCCAAAATATCTTTGTGGCATCCAATTTACTATTAGTCTCCGCTTCCTCTTATTACCATAAGAGGTATGCTATAAGAGGTAATGGATGTAATGATGTGTATAAAATTATGCAAATGAGCCCATCTCCAAATCTTGAGTTCTGTAGGTCCCTCCGATTAATTTAAGTGGTGATAAAAGCAAATAGCCCTTTTATAAACCAACTTTTTACGATACCCATATTTTCATGTTTATGCAAAAGTTACGAGATTTTAAGTGCCGAGAAGATAAATATGAAAACGTTTTATCCTATAAACAAAAAAAAAAATATGGATTAAATCTGCAAATTAAAATATAGAATCGTTAATGCCAGGTAATTCCATTTCTTTATAATGAGGCCCAACATACTATGATTTTTATTGTTTCATTTAGCAATTAAAATGACATCGTGATTTAAGTTTTCTTCGGAATATTATAGTAGAAGAGTTGAGGGTGCTAAATCGGGATTTACTCGAGCGTCAAAGAAACCTATTGGATTGCGAAGCCTAGATGATAAGAAGAAAAAAAAGTCATATAATATATACACTTTCATCGGTGGGGGGAGCGGCTATAAACTTTCAAAAATGTAAGAAAAAAACAGTTGCATGGACATACTCGAGCGCGTCAGATATTAATAGCATCTATAGTCCTACGTATTTTTGAAAGCATACGTATTGATTGTTTCGATGATGGGGTTGGTCGTACGTAAAGATTGAAAACGGAAAAAAAAATTTATCGAGCGCGTCAGATTTTCAAAGAGGATGTTAAGTGAACCTAAAAGAAGGCTCTTGTGTAATAATCTGACGATTTGAATGTGACCCACACTCGTGTGACGCACACTCGCGGACATAATTAGAATGTGCAAAAAAAATCGCCATTTTGGAATACTCGAGCGCGTCAGATTAAGATATATATAGTTCATTTATATACCCTAAACGTGTTGTCTCATAATCTGACGATTATCTGGAGGGATTCGCCTAATCTGTCAATGGAAAGATTTTTTTTTTGTATTTTTTCAAATCTTTTTAACTTACCAAATTAAAGAGCTGGAAAGATAGCATGCAAATAAAACAGTATATATTCTTTGAAGTACAAAAATTTTATTTATGAGAAATATAAAAATTATAAATTTTTTTGAATTTTTTTTTCAATCATCATCTTCCTCTTCTGGCTCAATTTCATCCTCAGATTGTGTATCTGTAACAAAAAATCATGAGAGTATTAAACGAAATTTTTCTTCATGAACAACGATTTCTTCAATCATTGCAGCAAAAATATACCTAGTTCTGGAGTATCCTCAAAAATATCTAATGTTATGACTACGTCTTCATACGCTTTTGGTAATTGATCACCCGCAAACCAGATCATTTGGTATTTTTCGTCGACAACGTTTCGTCGTCCGTTGGTAAAAGATCAATAGAAGGTTACAGGGGAAAAACAAGAAATGTCACAAAAAATCCAAAAGTTAATTTATGATGGCAACATTCTCATTTCTTAGTGTATTTTTATTTGGCATTATACAAAAAGCGTGAAAACAAGCATTGTGAGATGTATTACTAGAATTTCAAAATTGTGTGCAGGAACAAAACAGGGAAGGTCCATGTTGTAACGAAACGTAAGAAGGAATGTCCTAGCTGTCAAAATATTTAAGTCAACTTTGAGGTTATCTCGAGTGTTTGTTCGGAGTTGCTGTTTGTGATTTGAATGGATATTAATTGTTATTTCGATTTACCGCTGCAAAAATGAGTAATAGTGATGAAGAAATCAATAAAACTTTTGTGTCATAACGACAAAGGAATGAAAGAAAACAGGAAGAATGCGTGAAGTGATGAAAAATTGAGAGTTTCTACGCACGAGCCAGGAGATGATTGCAGGTGTAAAAGATTGAAATATTTTGATAGAATATCATCAGAGCAACGTGCAAAACTATTTAAAGACTTCAACTGCATGAACTACACATGTGAACAAAATATATACTTATGTGGCTTGATGAATGTGTGTTCATTAAAAAGGAGGCGAAGTAGAAAAACAGAAGAAATGGGTGCTAATTTCCATCAAACGCATTTCACTTACAAAGTGAGGGTGATAGAAAATGATGAGACAAAAGAAGAACCTGTTTGCTACAAAGCATTTTTATCCATATTTGGTATTACCAAAGGAAAACTTGAACATCTTCAAAAGTCATTGAAAATGTCATGTACTGCACCAGGTGACAAAAGAGGCAAGTCAGGTTCAAACAAGAGATTAGACAATAACATTAAAGATTTGATATGTAATCATATAAAATCCTTTAAAGGACGGCAAAGTCACTACAGCTTGAATGATACAAAAAAAGAATATCAACATGAGGACCCATAAAGAAAATGTATAAGTTGTACTTAGATGCATAGAAGTCACAAAATCATGTATCTTATTAAACTTACAGAACCATCTTTAATACAGAGTTTAATATATCATTTGGCTATCCCAGGACTGATACCTGTAGTGCTTGTGATCAATTCAAAATAAAATCGAAGGCATTGAGAGCTGAAGGAAATATTGTAGAACTGAATCGGTTAACTTTTCTGAACAACTTGCACAAGAAAAAGGCTCAAACTTTTTATGATCGTAAGAAAAATGCAAGAATCAAGAGTAAAACAGATGTGGAATTTCAAGCAATTGCCATGGACTACCAGAAGAATGTGTCGTTGCCAAACATCACCACAAGCGATGTCTATTACAAACGTCAATTATCAATGTATCTGCATGAATATTAAAATTCATGCATTGGGTGATGCAAGCTCCTATTTTTACACCTATCCAGAAACCTGTGGACGTAAGGGTTCAGATGAAGTGATTTTATTTCTGTTTCAATATTTAACAAACTACCTGGATAGTCGTGTAAAGCATTTAGAAATATTTTGTGATTCAGCAGGTGGACAGAACAAGAACTACACAGTGATAAGGTTTATTCATTTTGTTGTCCATAAAATGAAACCTTTAGATTCTATCAAAATTACTTATCCAATACGAGGTCATTCTTATTTAAAATGCGATAAAAATATGGGCCTAATCAATCTAAAAGCTCACATTGAAGTTACATACCAGTGGTATGATTTGCTGAGAGTAAGTCGCCAAAGACTCAAACCCTTTGAGGTGATTGAGGTAGGAATAGGTGAACACATAAGAAAATTTACAATTTTTAAAAAAAAATCTATACGTGAAATAATGCTCATTTCCTATTCAGTCCCAAAGAGAATTGAAGAGTGTACGAGAACACCCTAGAGTTATTTTATACAGAAGTAATTATAATGGTTTATGGGAGAAATCACCTATTGTGGCAAAAAAAGGAACCTGGGTCAAATGATACATCAAATGAATTTGATTTGCCAGATTTTGCCTATATCAATTTCTTACCCATTAGTGCAGAAAAGTACAAGGACTTAATGGATTTAAAAATATTTTGTTCTGAGGGGGCCCAATCCTACTTTGAAAGCATTCCTCATGCATAATCAGCAATGCATTTAGGTAGTTGGACATTCCTTGTATGGGACATACTGGGCATTCCCAGTTTTTGTAAGTTGTAAAAGTGAACTACTTTTATTTTTTATTATTTTCAATTTTTTTTTATGTCCATAAAAGTATTTTTTTCTTTCTTAAATTAACACTTTAAAGAGTAAACTTAACTTTTTATTAGCAGTGTATAAGTTTAAGCCATACCTAAGATAATTGTTAACTTTGAAATATAGAAATGTTAATTACACAAGTTTTTGTTTTTGTGACATTTTTTGTTTTGCCCCCGTACCCTTCATTATAATTTTTGCTTTATGGGCATCCATATTTGGGCATTGAAATCCTCAAAGTTTTGCTGAATGTTGCTGTGCTCTCTCGCTCTAAAATTTTTAAAAATTAATATAAAAAAGGTGATTATAACATGAAATTAAAATATTGTTAGAAAAATAGATTCTTTCATCTTAAAATAGTATTAATAGCTTTGTCAGTGAAAGAAATAATTAATGTTGATTTTTTTTAAATAATTATTTTTTAGTCTGAAAATTTCACTAAAATTTATCTTTAAAAAAAAGTATAAACAACTCATATTAGAACTTATTCGTCCGTTGATGTACTAGTAGCCTCAACAAATGTGGAATCACCAGTAGCATGTAATTTGGAGCACACTCCAGCCACAGAAACTTGTGACTCAGAGCACTCTCCAGCAACTGAAAAATGTGACTCGGAACATTCTCAAAACCGGAACATTTACACAGCTATTGTCAGCAACTTCCAATACATTGTCATACTCCACTTCACTTTGCCGCTGTTGTGAATACTGAACATCTTGCGGTATTTTTTTCTTATACTTCATTTAATGAAGATTCTTTTGTAAGCATCAGATTCTCGTATGTTGTACGGAATTTTCGGAGAACCGGTTTACTCCGACGATATTCTAATACATTTATACATTTTTGTAATGTATCTAATGTAAATTTGACAGTTTTTTAAAAATTAGTTTCACTACAAAACACACAATTTACATTAATGTCACTCATAGTAACTTTTTTTAATTTTAATTCACATATGAATCATCAAAATCGCAAAATAATTTCAGGCGTTACAAATACGTTGTAAACAAAACCATCAGCGCGATCAGCTGTCATGGCGTCATGGCAACAGAACTCAAAGTGAGGAAGGAGTGAGAGAGTCATAGATAGAGAAAGTGTGAGAGAGGAATAGAAACGCGGGAAGGGGAATACTAGCATCACGTAGCTGCACGCATTAAACTTTATCGATTATTTTTCCTTACTTCGGCTTACGTGAACGTTGAATTATTGCCTTCAAAATAAAAAACAAATTAGCCACGCTCGAGAAAGTCGAGAACGCTCGAGAAAGTCGAGATGAAATTTTTTTTACAAGTTTGTAACCCACCTACTTCTTATCGTCAATCGAAAATTGTCAGATTAGTGGAATATACCCTTTTTTAGGATATAACTAACTTACCCTACCTTAATCTGACGCGCTCGAGAATTTCAGATGATCAATTTTTTTAACTAACGTGATCCTTTATCCTTGACGTGCGGCCATATGTACAGGGCTAATACGTGGTGGAGGTATTTAATGGGGTACTAGATACCTCCCTGTATGTTAAACTGCCGCGGTTTAGTAAATCCCAAAATCCCCTCTTGGGCTTCCCTACTATAATATTTTACAAATGTAAGATATTACATTATCACAAAAATTTCAGAATGTTTACATTGTTTACTAAATAAAACTCAATTCATATCATTCATACAATATTTACTTACACTTTCTGGATTAAAGCCAACCTCTTACCTATTTATGTCATCGCTGCAGCAGTGCACTCAGTTATTTATTTTGATTTATTTAGTACCCGGATGACCAAGCTTTGCTCGATCTTTTTTGAAATTACATTTATAAATTACATACCGATGAAACATAAATAATATTTTTGATCTTATTGACAGAATAGAAAAAACTGAACTTGTTATTTGAATAAAAATCATGAGTGCAATTAGTTTTATTAAAATTCTCGTATTTTTAAAAAATACTAAAATGAGGGCTTGAAATAATAGATTTTCTCACAAAAGAAGGGAACTTGAAAAAAAAGGAAAAAAGCTGGACCAGACAGGATGCGAACCACGAAACTCCGATATCACGCCTGACCGACATCCCACCTGAACTATTACGATCGTTAGTGATCTGTCAAAATTTACCTTCTTATATTGTAGCAGTTTTTTTATTGCCTAAAAATACGGACAAAAGGACGTTTTCTAAAAATAAATCCTAGCTAGATCGATTTATTGCCTCCGAAACTCCCTGGACACTAAATTTTATGAAAATCGTTGGAGCCCTTTCCGAGATTCCGATTATAGGTATATATATACAAGAATTGCTCGTTTAAAGGTATAGGATATTATGTTTAAATTTGTTAAAACTGTGTGTGTGTGTGTGTGTGTTTGTGTGTGTGTGTGTGTGTGTGTGTGTGTGTGTATGTGTGTGTGTGTTTGTGTGTGTTTGTGTGTGTGTGTGTCTGTGTGTGTGTGTGTGTGTGTGTTGTATGTGATATTTAAAAATTCATATTAACTTTATTTTTACTCATTTCATGACAGGAAAACCCAATAATTGTTTTTGGTCTGACTCGGGATTCAAACCCAGGACCTCATAATAAGCAACCGCGTTTGCGACCACTAAACCAAAGAGGTGATTAGATCATGCTGGCGGTATAAGCTGTATGATATTTTATGTCCGGCCTCAGAGGTGACAACGCATCAGTGGTCTTATTTAATTTAAGTAGGTTTCATATGTTCATATGCTGTAGCATCCACTGGTAATGAAAATAATTATGAACTCGTTTGTCACTCATTAAAAAATCTGATATTTTGAAAAATTCCTCTGTTGAGAAATATTTTATAGTAGCACTCAGCACTTTTTCTCTCTATCTTTATCAAAAAAATCATCATTATCTGCAGCTGTCACAGTTGTTTCGTATATTCTGTTGATACAAGAGTCTCGTTCATTTGTGTTCATTTCATTATTCATCCCTACTAATAAGGGACATAATATTCAACATCGATGGAATTAAAATAGTAGGAAATCAATTATTAATCCTACAGTGCCTTTCAAACACTCACGTTTGCATTATCTGAGAGTTCACTTTGTATTCAATTATATCCATTTGCATGTGTTCATTGGATTATTGTTAACGAACGAACACTCGTTAGCGGAGTATTAGTTAAGCGCTCTAGTTCTGCGCGTTATCTCAGCAGCAATTTAAAACAATTTGGGGTTTCGAAGTTATTCTCATTGACGTCACTTGTAATCATTGTAAGTACTCAAAGCAAAGTGATCACTTTTACTTAGTAAACATAATAATGTGGTATAATTGAAAGGATAAAATGAAGGAAAGTACTTAGATATGACGGCAGTACTCTAATACCCCACTCGTTCCAGAGATATAATGAAACTACACTCTAAGAAAAGATAAACAGTCATTTTCATCTTCATCATAATCATTACAGCCCTTCACAAGTCCACTGCTGAACATAGGCCTCCCCCAAGTAATGCCAAAAAGCACGGTCCTAAGCCACCTGCACCCATCGACTTCCTGTATGTCTTATCAGGTTGTCACTCCATGTAGTGGGGGGTTGGCCTACACTTCACCTACAAGTACGAGGCTTCCACTCAATAACCTTTTTCCCCATCGGTTATCGTTTCTTCAAGCTATACATATTTTTTAAATTTTTAATAATATTGGTCTTGTTTCAAAACATACATTACGTACATTAAAATATACATTTTACATTAAAACATACATTTTATAAAGATAAATAAAAATACAAAAATGTACTCAATTAAATTATAAATAAATATATAAAATAAATTTTTGTTTTCCATGTAAAGGGTACCAGCAGGGAAAGCTAAACAGTTTATGTAATTGACTTAAGCAGAATACTCTTGAATCAAATCAGACTGAAAGGTTGACTTAACCTTGATTTGTTTTTTATAGGTTTCTTATTCAAATAAAGGCCGTAAGTACTAAATAAAACTACAGATACCAAAACTCGGTGAGCACATTGAACTTTCTAGATGAAGTTAAGATAAAATGCAACCGTTTCATTTATACATGCTTGTTGGAAAGTAGAATTGGGGCATTCATTTTTTTTTTTTTGGAAAATGCGTGTTTTGTTTATGAAATATCAGGTACATGGTCAATACAGGAACTTTCAAAACTATAACAATTTGTCTGTTTGCGTTTGCTTATTGTAAAACAACAAGATTCGGATAACGATGAAATTTTATATTTAATACATAACTTTTTCTAGTTTCATATTATATTGTAATCGGTTGACTATGTCCCACAAAAGATGGCGTCATGGTTATCTGCTACCAGTTGTTCTAGAAATACTTATGCCGTGGTCTATAGACAAAATATTATACAATAACTCCGGAAACTCCCCAAGTCTGCAATAATTTACAGTAAAATTGTAACGTGACAATGATTCTCTATAATATTTTTTTATTAAATCGTTACCACCACTGTAGGATTTCTTTTGTTTCATGAAAGCCTTTTATCTACATAAATTGCACATTAGCTCACATCCAGACCTAGATGTTTGTAGAACATACAAACAAGTTTTCTGTGTGGGATTTAAACCGGCGACCTACCTGGCTACGAATCTACTACAAAACAGCGAAAAATACTTTAGCGTAGGCCGCACGTTTATGCCTAAGTATTTTTCCCGGATTTAAAATTTATAGCTATTTTAGCGCGCCACAGTTGATGGCACTAGCACCATCTGGTATCAAGTATCAGAAATAGAAGTGCCAAGATCTTTCTAGAACTCTTCCATCTGCCATCTAGTATCGAATAGAAGAAGCACTTAGTTGGTCGGGACCGGTTTCCTGGAACATTCCGGATGTTTCAGTGAAAAAGGCCTATTTAAGGCCGTTAGAGGCTGCGACCGTGGCAGTATTAATTGGTGTTCAGTAATTAAAGTGTCAACTTTCGTAATTCATTAGGCAGTTTTTATTGCTACTAACCCTAAGCTCGTAACACTATTAACCAAGTGGTTAATAGTTATAGACTACCTTTTCCACTTATTTAGTGTGAGAGCATTGCGCATCTACGCCATGGGTTGTAGGTTCGAATTCCTGCCAGAATCAATGTTTGTGAAAAACATAACTGTTATTGTTTTATATTCCAACAAATTTAATACAGTTATATAAACAGAACGACAGTTATTTTTCTCTGTTCTGTACTCTGAGCTTTACAGATAGATGTGGCGTATTTTATAAAATATATGAATAATAAATAGATCAAAACCTCTGTTTTCTGTATGATATCTTTTGTAGTTTTTCAACAAAAAAAACAGTTAATCCGCCACACGTACATACGTGGTAGAGCCATGCTGCAGTTATATTAGTAGTATAGTTGTAGCACGAATGGGTCGGCTCGACCGGGGAAGGACCACGCTCTCACAGAATACCAGCGTGAAATAGTAGCTTAATGCTGCTGTATTTCGTATGGTGAGTGTAGAGAACCGGAGACCCTTTTTACTGGAAACGAGGCATTCCATCTTAGTCCTCACGGGTGACAACGCATCTGCATTTTGATTCGTAATCGAGGATAGATGTAGATGTATATGGGCCACAGCAACCACTTACCATCAGGTGGACTGTGTGCTCGTTTGTCACCCTATCCTATAAAAAAAAACACTTCCGGATAATACGTCTCAACATAATGCATACTAATTTAATTAAGTGTGATTTCCTGCGCTTCGCAGCAGCTGCTCTGATTTATGACCACTG